TCGTTTCTACGGTGCTGGGCGATTTCCACCGCGCGTCGTTCGCGTCCTGGGAAACCGGCACCGATAGGTGAAGGCGAACGAATAGGTGAGTTCGCCGAGCATATTTCTGGCAGTCACGAGATACGATTTTACGGACGGCGAGCGAACAAGTAACAAGCTCGTCCCGAGAAAGAGGTACAAAGAGGGTGCGCGACGGAGATAAAGAGTAACGAGCAACGCACGAGATAAACAAGGACGAGTGGGACAGAGAAGAAGACGGACAACTCGCCTTGTTTTCGGTTAGAGTCGACATTGTCGGGCGGCAGCCAATTTTCAGGGAAATTCCATTAATATTCGTGGCTTTGTTCCACTTCGAATTGATGACTCGTGTCGTTCTGCACGTATACATATACCTATATACATATCAAGACACAGATCGTTCTATGCAAAGTGTTTCCTCTTATTCATATCTGTTTTTCCTGTTACGTGATTCCCGAATTTGAGACCGATTCTTCTTTACTCTTCGAACTACTTAATGAGATTGCAATTTTTTCATTTTAATTTTTATATAAATTTGTTTCTTTTCTCGTTTACATTTTCTCTTTATTGCAATTTTCGAAATTTCTCACACGAACAAACACGTATCTGATTGTTGAAGTTGACAAATGGCGTGCAAAAAAATAACAAGAAAATAAATTTTACAGATTGCATATATATATATATATATATATATATATATATATATATAAATATATATATATATATATATAAATATATATATATATATAACATATTTCGCGATAATGTGCGATCATATATGCTTGTAGATACTATCCACTGTCGCATACACGTCGGCGTGCGTGCACGCGCGTGCCACCGCGTAAATTGCGTGTGTTGTGATCGTTTTATAACTGCACAAAAATGTCATCCACCCACGTCGATGTTACATCTTCTGTATTTGTTCACGATGATCATTCGCCAGAAGTGCGCTTGCACGTGAGCAGTCGCGTAAAGTTGATTGAATTTCCAATAGTTTGTTTTTATATCTATAAAATCGCATCTCCTCGCACAAAACTATGTCATCAATCTGTGAAGATTATTACAGTTATTTGCGATCAGTCTTTCTGGAATAAAAAGTAATTTTTTCTTTTTCTACCACATTTTCGAAAAGATTGATTCCAAAGGTCGATTCGCAAAGACATTAGTGTGAAAATATTTGTTCGATTTTTTTTTTTAACTTCGAGATCGTATCGTACATGCACACACGTAACCAGTTTCGAGACATCCTCGAATCGATGGCGAAAAGAGCTAACTCGAATAAAGTGAACGAGCTATCAGAGAGAGGAAAACTTAAGCAGTTTGATTAACCCAGTTCCGTAACCCTGATTGCAAGCCCACGCGAAGCGACCTTTACCTCGTCCACGCGGAGCGACGGCGAGGATAGGGATCCATCTCAAAAAGTCCACCTGCCGCAGCAGTGCGTACGACCAAGCTGACTGTCCGGTCGGACGCCCACACGAATTGCTATCGCATTATTTTGAGTGCTTTGGCCTTGGGTAGCGGCCAGAGAAAACTGTTGCGGAGATATCGACGCGGAACGTGTCGGGATTTCTCCTTTCGGCATCCCGCGATAAGTATTAAAGTATTTCGACCAAACGATGCATCATTCATCGTGACATCAGCTAATACATTATTGTGACATCAGCTAATACATTATTGTAAAGAATTTTTTTTTATAATTTTCGTACGTACGCACGCGAGCGCATACGTTTTAACGATTTATGCTCTCCAATAGCAGTGTGTATGACAATCAGTTCATTTCAATGTGAATTGTCAGTCTTACGAGAGGCTTCGTAAGACCAGCATATAGAATTGTGACGTCAGAAGCAAAAAATCATCGTCACACAATTCACATTGAAATGAACTGATTGTCATACACATTGCTATCGGAGAGCATAAATCGTTAAAACGTATGTACGTACGCGCGCGCGTGCGTACGTACGAAAAATACAAACAAATTCTTTCGAAAGGCTTCGTAAGACCAGTATATAGAATTGTGACGTCAGAAGCAAAAAATCATCGTCACACAATTCACATTGAAATGTACTGATTGTCACATACACTGCTATTGAAGAGCATAAATCGTTAAAATTCGCCAAAAACTATCTACAAATCCTGATTATTTATCAAAATGTTTTTTGCTGGAAATACGTGCTATACCGAACATGCACGTTTTTCTTTTTTTTTTTTTTGGTAAATTTGATCACTTCACACGCTTTCTATGATCGATTGCGGTGTGTAAAAGAAACTAGCTCATTTCCATGTAAAGTGCATGACAAACACATGAATTGTATAAATATGCAAATCCAAATAAAAATATGGAAAACATATTCAGAAATAAATGAGATATTTGATACAAAGAATTGTGTATATACGCGTGTGTATATTGAAAATAATAAAAATCTTTGCATTCAAGTATTTGTGAATTTGTGTGCGGACGATGTTAAAACGCAGCGCGTTGATTGATTTTTGAGCTCATTTTATCGATTCTCTCTGAGAAAAAACGATTACTTAAATTGAGATTAAAGATTAATCGACGTCATAATGTAACTACTCTATACCTACATTTGCGATTCAAATATACTCTCAGAATTTGTTAAGGGAACAATCGTTTAATTCAAAAACGAAGAACTCGCGATCTCAGTTTTAAATTAACGGCTTTTAAAAACAACGTTTCTTTCGATTCGTTTTATTGTCGGATATTTGTAACGTTAATACACATATAAATAAAAAACTTGCGAAATAAATATTTAAAGCGATAAAATCATCAGACTATGACGTTTATATTCTCATATGAGCAAAATGAAAGGAAGATACTTTGGCACTAAACGTAAGAATGTATCGAAGCGAAAAATCGTAGTTTTTTTTTTCTAATGCATGCCAGTTGGACTTCGTGGCACACGTAGATTTACGAGAGGTTCGCCTCATTTCCGTTCGCACATAAATCTTTACTGAGAAAAGAACCGCTTTTGTCGGACAGACGAGAACACACGTGCCGAATCTTAGCGTGACACGTGACGTCACGAGTGTACGATTATTCGAGGTGGACAGGCCGTGACGAGCGAAAGGAAGATGAGGAGATACCGGCGGGAAAAAGATGACAGATGGACATGCGTGGCGATCGATGGCTCGCGAGATCGCGGTGGGGATAATTGGATTTTTCCAACGAGAAAGAGAAAGAACGTCTCTTTGGCAAGTTAGCGCGGAGAGCAGCGCACTTCTTGCTCTTGCGGTTCGAAAACGAGCTTTAAGCTCCGGCCGGCTCAGAAAGTCTCGAGCTCTCGCGACGAGTCATAATAATAACAACCCCTCGCGAAGATTCCTCGCGCTCTCGAGCTGAATCTTAAATTTAAACAGAATGGCGACAAGCATTGCGGCGAAGCGTTAAGTGTTCGTCTCTGTACACTTTGAATTCTGTCTTATGTTCCGTTTGTCCAATTTTACAGAATTTTCGAAATACTTTATTCTTCATCGAAAATGCTTGTCACCTATGGGAGATGTTTACGGGACAGTTACTGGATTTTAATTCTAATCAAACATCGAGTTTCTTCGTCAATCTGAACTCGAGTTTCTATCAGTCTTATTTCAATTTACAACAAATAAATCATCAGTTTACGAAGTATTTTTTGCAATAAAATTCTGAAGTTTGGTGAAAAAATATTTGATTAACAAGATATCTTACAAATTGTCTTATAACAAAAACATTCTATTTCACGTATTTTTCATGTTTACACGCACATGAAAATATTTACAGTTTTTTAAGAGAATTTGTGAAACTTGAGCAATGCAATGAGTCCACTAGAAACGACTAGACTGCCCCTAAAATATAAAAGAAAATTAACATGATATATTATATTACGGTATTATTATTATATATTACGTGACTACATGCAATTAAAAAAAAAATAATAACTAATAATAAGTAACAAATGCAGCTTTTCATTATTATTTTATAGCGCACATCTAATATTAAAATGTGAGTAATATAATTTTTGTATACATTTTTTTGAATGAGACGCATTAAACACGCTCAGTAATTAAAACTCCGCTTTAACGAGATTGAATTTTTAAACAAAATGCGCTTTCTTCAACTCCAAAATACAATCAACATCATAAAAATTAAAAATAAACTATTGGACAAGCGTTTCATTCAAGAAGAACGTCACGATTTCAAGGAGTTTAAAATTAGTCACTCTAAAAACGACCGCGGGAAAAATCACAAAAATTGTCGACACTCTTGATCACATGCAATCCGTATGTGACAGGATACGAGATCGACGATTTAAATATAACATCTCCATCGCACTCAAAACGCACTCGTAATGACGGGCGCGAATTGATGTATCGATTTGTATGCACCAAGATTAAACCGACAAACCGCAGTAACTCGACTCGAGTCTTTCACCCGAACGTTAAGTAACGCGACGGTCAGAGCAACGTCGTCATAATAATGCCTTCGCAACAATTGGCAACGAGAATCGTGTCTTCTGCATCTACGGCAATGTCAACGCTAATTAGAGAGCCCGCGAGCCCGAGAGCCATTAATTTGTTTGACGTAACACGTTCAGCGGCTCGTTTTGTCGTTAACAGGAAACGGATTGGCCTCGACCGCTGATTAAAACCCCCCGATTACGATACCACGAAGATGATTCAATATCGTTGTATAAGGCCGAAGGCGTCGCAAGAGAATTGTCGCACTTTGCGTTTATAGCTGCAAATTCCTCGCGCAATCCAACTTCGGTTGATATCTAACATGCCACCTTCTGATTTCTAACTTCACATTTGTCAAAATATTACGACAGTTTGTAACACTTGATCAAGTAGTAACTGTATTACGTACCATAAGATGAGTTGAATCGAGGGTGAGTGCCGTATCGGATTGTAAGGCGTAACGTACAACTCCTTGTTTTGGCTGAAGTGTCGCAATATGTCTCGCGCGCTGTAAAACAATTTTAAAAAATTGGTTTTTTTTGGTCGTTGCGACTCAAATGAGTACCACGTGTTTGATTGACGGTGTTGATCATCCGGCTCGACGGGGGAAAAACACGTTAAGCCAATTTCGCATGACAAAAGTTGCACACGTGTGACATGGCAGGTATAATAATAGATCGTTAATAATAATGTACACGGTAGTGTAGACAGTGACGGTCTTTTAATAAGCGCTGTAAATATATCTGTGCAAAAGTTCGTTGGTAAAAGCGACATAAAGATGGGAATACTGCCAATGACGAAGATCTTATGCGTACAATATGACGCCATCGAGTCAATTATTTGATTTGTGAATATTTAGAAAATCAATCTCTTTCTATATATCACACAGGAATTCAATATTTTACGAGGTATCTTGTATCTTATTTTTAATATATAAAAGTTAAATAATATAAATCCTTAAAAAAATGTACATATCTTCTTTTATAATAAAAAAATTGTTTTATTAAAAAAAATACTATTACTACTAAAATCAAGATGAGAGATGTACTATTTACCACCTGCAGTGTTTTAAATGGACATAAGACATTTAACATAATCACTGCCTCAACGTTACGGTCTTCAAAAAACAAGCAGATTGTAATAGATTCACTGTGTGATGTGAATTGATGATATTCAACGGGGTTTGTGTTTTCAAGCTTTCGACAAATTAGACAAACGAAGTCGTTCGATCGATCATACATACACAAATGTATTAGAGAAATAAACGCTGATTAAATACGCGTTGAAATTTGATACGCAAAGTGCTGTAAGATATAAACACAAAATTTACGTCAATGAAATAAATTATATGTCATCTTAATTACAAAATCTGTATTTTATATAAAATATTTTAGCATGTAATTTTTAATTAAATTCTGAAGGTTTGCGTGAACAGAATTATAGATTATGTATGCGCGTTGTGCAATATATATTTGTTTTAAATAAAAATGAACAAACTACTATGACACAATTTATGCATCAGTGAATATATGAATATATACATGCAACTGCCCTTGGAAAGCGTCCAAAATAGTTTCACCACACTTTACTCCCCGCAGTGTAGTTCTCTTCATACTATTGTGCATGTATCATTTTTGTCAAGTGAAAATTTAATATTATTTCCGTCATATTTTTTGTATTGAAAGAAAACACTTAAAAACACAAGAAAAAAGATAAGATCAATCCAGCCTATCGTAAAACTTACATGTTTTTTTTTTTATTTCTTTGAACTGCATTAGTGAGCGAAATACCACAATATTTGAAAGATACTTCGGAATCGGACGCAGTTGGCAGCAAATTGCTTTTCCGATATATAAAGTCGCATTCTATTTCTCGTACATGCAAAGTTTATGTAATAGTAATGTCTTGGCAGAATTAAATAAAAAGCAAAAAATGTTAATTAAAAACAAAAATCCAAACTAACCTTCCGTGATTTGTTACGGCGACTAATACTCGTTTCGAAGTATATTGCTTCACATCAACGGTGCCAAATACTGACATCTTTTCAGCTATCTGCGCAAATTTTGACAAGGCAAGCCTGATTACAAATCATATTCACTTCACATATAAATCACATACTGTAATACAAGAAAGGATTCCAATAGTCTTTAGGACTCCTATAGTGTTTAATAAAATGCTACGTGCAATTTGGTGTAATACCTGCGAGGCGCTTATTGATCTCGATGATAAAGGTTTCACATAAAGCCAGTTTGGCCGTGTTGATTCAGGTTCAGGTCCGTCCAATCTCTGAGAAATTTATATTATCAATTACATAGCATATATGTTATAAAAATATTTGCATCTTTCTTACCAAATGCGATATATCGCCACGGATGACATTTACACAATTTGCAAAATCTTTTACACTGTTCATTAATTCTGTATGTGTATACTCCTTTAATGCGGAACTTCTAAAATCACAAGATAAAGAGATGTCAGTAACCATATCAATATAATATATACTGTACATATACTATATAAATGTATAATATTCGTGCTTAGATATAATTGTAGTAAAACTAATTAGTTATTAAATTTTAATCCTTGCGTAATTTCACGTATAACTTACTGTCCATACTGTTTTTTAGCAAATATATGAGCCATTCTAATAAATACATAGCCAGCAAAATAAGAATCCCAGCCTGCGTTGTGGTATTTCGGTGATGATGTAACTGGAAGCACGCGAAAATTTGATAAAATTAACAATATTGCATAGAATATCAAGATGCATAACAAAATAATTACCATCTGATTTCTCTAACTTTGAAGTAAGTATTATATCAGGAGATCCAAAATCTATGTATTTTCCTCGATCTCGTGTAAAATATTCAAATAAGTCACCCAGAGAAGTACGTTTCCACTGTACTGAGAAGAAAAGATATTCGATAATTTTATTTTACTTATATAAATATATGTAGGTATATATATATATATATATATATATATATAAGCACGCACACGCAAAAACACAAACTACCTTCGGTATCAAGAAGTTCCTTCAATCTAAAGCTTAAAAATTTTGTGTCATAAATTTTTGGAAACATTTTATGTGTGGCAGTCTTGTAATCAATATAGTTTTCTGCAAAATATAATTATTCATAACCTACTATAAACTTACTTTTATGCATCAAGTAAATATAATAAAATATTTAGAAAGAAAAAACTATTTTTCTATTGTTACACAAATGTACATACTAGGTAATGGTCTGTAAAACTGCTGATGCATAAACATCAAATCTAAAAATGCATTATGTGCTATTAAAGGTTTTTTCAAAGTGACCAACAGCTTAAATATTTTTGAAAAACCAGCATACAAATCTAAAATAGCATTCTCCAATATAGAACCTTCTTCATTCTGAAGAACTTCTCTTGATCCTGGCAATACTTTCATAACAGTTACCTGAAAAGATATAAAGTTAAATATCTCAAAAAAACTCAAGATCTTGAGAAAACTCAATTTATTTTTGTACCGTATACTATTTAGAATATATGTCTATATACATACCACATTGTTTCCTGAAGTAGTCCATACATTTGGGAAATAATTTCTTAATTCTTTATGTGCAATATATTGCAAAAGTGGAGTAGGGGTGACAACTTTAAGTAAATTTACTTCATCAGCTGTTTTCAACCATTCAGCTACTTGATTAATATAACTATTCAAATCATCTTCTTCTTCAAATGAAAGAGATTGTCTTAAATTGTGAAATAGCATATTGTTTTGCAATTGTTGCTGTAAGAACGCTTCTTCAGACTCATTAAGATATGATATGCCATTATACATCAACTGCAAAAATTTTTGTACATGTATAAAAATAATAAAAACACTACATGCAATTTAAAATATTAATTCAAAGTATATATATATATACATATATATACACATGCTTCTCTATCAAACATATCAGCTATAAATAATATACTAGCTATAAATATATACAGCTATAAATAATATATTCAACAGAAGCATAAATTTCCTTGATAAAATTTGTGACATACATACTTCATTAAAATCGAATCCATGTTTGGACAAAAATTCTAACGCTGCAACTTGCCAGACAAAACTTCTATTCATCGAAGGAATATTTTTAGGTAATAAAAAAAAATTAAATATCTCTGCAGTGTACTTGTTTTCATGTTGGACTCGTTGAAATGTACAAATACCAAATTGGATAATTATGTGAGGTTCAATATTACGTTTTTGCTTCTCATAGCGCTCGTTTATGGAATCGAATAAACTGCAATGATAGTTAAATAAAATATTGCATAACATTTACAAAAAAATCAAAAAAGAATATCTAGAAAAAGGAGAAAACTAACCTAATTTTAGCATCAACTTCTAAACCTGTTAATTCGGTATCAATCGCTATAAAACTCGCATCTTTCAATGCTCGTTCTAAATGCGGATATACTTCAGCAAAATTGTGACTTGTAACGTCGATCATAATAAACTATCGTCTCTTGTATATATGAGTTAAATAAAAAATAAAATCACTATTATTTGCGGCACATATGACTAAAATGCAGTAAAATGTGAATAAGCAAAGTTAAGCCTATGTCACACTACGGATTGGGATTGAGATTGAATTGAAATGTGACCAATCAGAAGAAAGAAAACNAAACCTAATTTTACTGATCTTTTCTCTGATTGGCCAAATTGCAATCCAATCTCGATCCTAATCCGTAATGTGACATAAGCATAAGACTGTTGCACACAAAATAGCACAACTCCATATGCATAGAAGAGGGAAAACTGAGAGCGACCAAGCTCATATGAATTTCTTCGCTAGCTTAATCGTCTTGTAAACTAGCGCATGTTCACGAGTGATGCACATTGGAACTACGCAGCCATGTTCACGAGCGACTGTTGGTACGCGCGATATGTCCAAACGTAGGATGCGTTCCGAGTTCGCAATTTTTTCTAGAAAAAGATGATTTTATCTTAAAAAAGATGATTTTATTTAAAAAAAGACAATCGTTTTATAAAAAAGATGATTTTATCATAAAAAAGATGATTTTATCTAAAAAAGATGATTTAAAGTCTGTGCTTCGCCCTATATCATTTTGTGTACGACAGCTCTTAAGTTTATAAAAGTTAAATAATTTTGCGCAGCCGTCTCATTGTACTTTTTAGTAAATGGAAATAATGACTGACACTGAACCATAAAAGTAAATAACGAAATATTACCATAATATTTAGTAAAGGATTTTGTCTTTGACTATTATCTTATTGTACGTAAAATAAGAATTATTTTCACTAAAAAGAAACATGTTTCGTTTNTTTCGTCTTTTTTATTTTATACTTTTGCTGCCTTATTCTTATGTTCTATTTTTCTATCACTTAGTCGGCGGAAACGCTAATCAGTAATCTTTATTACATCATGAGAATACCGATTGACAGTTCATGTTTTACATATAATTAAAAATTAATGTTTGAAATTACCAGAAACTTGATGCAGAAATATGATTGGATACATATATGCATGCAAAATATATAGATATATATGATATAAATATACATATANTGCATAACAATAATTGCTAACTCGTTTCTACAAATAATTTTGTTCCATTTTTTCTATAAAAACCAATTTTTAATATTATTATAATTCTTCGTTTATAATAGTACATGTCTGAATTCTTGTTGTACGTACTTCCTATTAATACAGCACAGTATAAATATATCAATAAGATAATCATATATATCTTGTGAATTTGTATCTTGTAAATATATATCTATACTAGATATTGCAATATCAAATAATCATTTATTGGATACCTTTTAGACATTTGCTAATATATATTTTACAAATACATGAAATTGAGCTGATTTATTCTTTTGTAGACAAACCTTGAAAATAATATCTAGTTATACAGACCGAGTTCGTGAGACTTTTCCGCGCGACTTTAAAATTGCATATCTCCGCAAAAAATCAATATGCTTTCAATTTCGTGTTTTAGAACAAATCCTATAAAATATAAAATCGTTTTATTTAAGATACAACATTTTACTTAAAAAAAAATTCTTTTTTATAAGATAAAATCATCTTATGAGAAAATAATTGCATTTCTGCAAGATAAAATTATCTTATTAAAAAATAATTGCAATTTTTTGCAAGATAAAATCCTC